CAAAAATAAAATAACCTTTGGAACAAGATATATGTTAATATTACACTGGAGTTATTTCCAAGGCACTTGGAAGTCAGTCAATAGCCCTCAGCCCAGCAACAGAAACTGGTTTAACCTAACTATGAGCCATTATAACATCAAAGTGCCAAATACTTCTAGTTGGCTATTTGAGCCAACAGCTATGGGGACATGCAAGTCAGATACTTGTTCACAGTAAAGTTACAATAACCCAGATAACAATAACTCAAATTGGATTATATCTGGACATAATTTATTTTTTCTTTCAAATTTCAGTGACACACTTTAGACTCTTAACAGTACTCCTTCCATAATCATAGCTGCTAAGTTCCTCTGCCCTAGATTTATGTGACAAAGAGAAAATCATGTCAACAGCCCATGAAAGGAAAAACCCAGCAATTAAATAATAGGTACAAGTTTTTTGCCCCCAGATCTGTAAAATAACCTGACTAAGTGTAAAACAAGGTGGGAGGAAGGGTTCATAAATCCTACCACTATACTTTGGTATATTTCTTTCTTTTTTCTTTACAATTTTATGTAATTGTAATTACAGTAAATCCTGCAATTGAATCTTGTAACAAACTTTTCCCAGTTTTTAAAGTCATACTGCACTTTTCTAAAGATATATTTTAAAAAATAAAGTCATACTGCACTTTTAAATCAGAAAATCAGATACTTATAATTTACAGCCTAGTGGTACAAATTCTGCTTGAGCTGTCCCAGAAATTAAATTGGTAATCTGTTTTTTGTGCTAACTGCATGAATCATACCTTCATGTGGCAGAGACTTTAATTTCAAACTGCTACAAAGCATCAATGATCACATGGTTTTAAAGCCTGGATATCGTATGTGTTATTCTTCCTAGGAATAACCAACTACTGGAGTGATGGGCTGAAAATACCTATAGAGCAAAACTTGCAACTGCTTTTATTGTCCAAGTGGATTGGGGCTTTGAAAGGGAAATGTTTTCCTTTATTTAAGGTACTATAGTGGGAGTCATGCCCAGCACAATTAAGAGAGGATTACACTGCAATTTATGAGTTTCTCAAGGATGTCATTTAATATGAAATATAACAATCGTTTCTCCCCAAAGCGTGCCACCTACAATCCCACCCCCAAACTCTGCTCTGCTAAGGCAATAAACTAAATGGCAATGCGGCCAGCATCTAAGGCTTTTGAGACCAATTGCAGGAAATGTGCTGCCTTCCACCAGCTCCAGTAATAATGTCACCTTATACTGAAAGAGCATACTGTTTTATATCTTTCATGCACAACATCTCACGTACATAACCTCAGAAAAAGTAAAGTGGAAAAGACAGATACTACTTTCTGCATTCTATAGAAAAGGAAATACTCAGATTGGGGGCCTCTTGTCCACTTCATAAGAACTAAACCCTGAACATCTTAAGACTTAAGAATCCAGTGGCTCTTCCAAGCACACTGTATCAATGACACGTCTTCCCTCAGCTGGCCCCCTAAAAAATACTCAATAGGCACAGCAGAAAGCCCCCGACCCATGGTACGGCAAGGCTTCCAGAAAGAGGAACAGTTACTGCTGCGCAACATCACCCAGAAAGGCATCCTGCCACATCCTTCGAAGACACGCCAAAAATGACAAGGTAGCTTCATCCACAACATGGTCCTTCTACAAAGCAAAGCTTTCCCGGAATTAAGTTTCCTTGCTTATCTAAAGCATTGATGAGCAGACCCAACTACCATCGGAGTAAATGCCACACCATCGGCAGACCTGCAAACAGAGGAAGCGAAAACATTTCTGCAGAAAGGAGGAGTCTCCTCCCTGCTCCCCACGTTCTCAATGGATCAGAATCACAGCTAGGCGGGGGCGCCCGTTTGAGGGCAACAGGCTCGCGGCACTCACCTGGCGGCGCACAGGCCGAGCACGCCCTCCTCCTCCCGGTCCTCCTCCGCCGTGGCAGTCCCACTCGGCAGCGGCACCCCATCCCCCGACCCCGCAGCCCCGCCTCGCTGGAACCTCCCGCCCGACTTTTGACGTCACGGAGGAGGAGGTTCCACCCCGGCCCGGCCCTTTGTGACGTCACAATGACAACAGAACGCGGCCGGGAGCGTCCGGGAAACCGGGCGCAGCAGGGGGCGGAGGGAGGCAGGGGAGGCCGCGCGATGCGGGGGAAGAACCCGGGGCAGGGAG